GTAATAAAAAAATCTACAAATAACAGTATTAATTAAAAGGGAAAAAATAAGGGAGAGATAAGAACAGGAAGCCCAGGATTGAAGGGGAAAAAATTAATGTAATAGGAAACTAAGAATACACTTTGACTCAATAACTGTTACTGTAACTGTAACAGTTGTAGATTAGTAATGGGTTTATTGTATGAAATGTTTATAGGAACTGTATGACTCCTGTGATAAAATGAGACCACAATTGTTTAGACTAGCCAGTTCAGCCACTGAAGATGGTGATGAAGGATTGGGTAAGTTAGGTTCAACTCAGAAGCAGAACTTTACACTTTTTAGTGGTAAGGAATTCAGTGGCCCAAAATGCTAAATTTTTATCCTGGACTTTTACCACCAATTACAGCACTAGAAGTCTGACCCACTGTTGATCAAAGAACACATGGTTTTTCATCTGCTGAGAAGCTTGTTGTGTGGACAAAAATTTAATTTAATGGCCAGTCTGTGAACACCTGGTTTTAATTCCTTTGAAGATTGGATTGTTTAGAGTCAACTAATCAGGGTGTTTCCAAGATGGGAGAATTCATCCAGCTATGATGCAGAACTCCCTGTTCAAGTTCACAAACTTGAGTTATTTTTTGTTCACGCATTGAGATTCTCCTCTTGTTTCTTTATTCTTTTCTCCAGCAACTAAATTTCATAATGCAAACCATGACTAATACTCTTTAACAATGTTCAAACTATTGCAGCTGAAATTCTCAGAGTGAATGATGACTTATCAAGAGTGTTAGAGTACTATAAAAGGATATTTGGAGTAGCTCCAGGAGCACCCACTACACCAACTAGTCCTGGACCTCTTTCCGTGGCTCAGACAGCAAATTCTGAAGTCAGTCCTCCTGCTGGTGCATCCACCCTTATTGATCTGGGCACTGGAGGCCAACAAGGAACCTCGGTGGAAACTCCAGCATCCAGTGTTTTGGAAAATGAACTTAAAGCTCTAGGTGAGTCCTAATTGGTTTAGTTTGACATCCAGGAACTTACTAATAACTAACATGACTAATTCAAATCCCAAATGTTTTTGGCAATATGCAAGTGTGGTATTGAATAGTAAGGATTGCTTACAAATTTAGTTCTTAGATTGCTTATTATTATTTTTGCTTTTCCATGTATGTGTAGTTTTGATTTGCAGACTCCCATGAAAGTTATGACCATTATTTATATCTTTATTTATTTATTTGTTAACTTACTTTTGTTATGTAGGTCTTCACGATCTAGAGGCACCATCAGTAAAGAGCAATTCTCAGATACCACTTCAGGTATTGCCTTTTTCCCCTACAATTACAGTATTTATCCACAAGACAGTGAATATCTCACATTTTAAACCTTTAACCCTTACAAGTGACTAGCATCTAATTTCTCCTTACAATATCACCCCTGAATCACACATTCAGGTCAGGAGAATAAAGGAAATGATCACCAACAACAGAGACTCTTGATCGATAAGCAAATTCTCCTTGTCAGCATCTTGGGAAATGTATAGAGAACAGTATAGAGAATATGCATACTGTTATTAAGGAGTTTAACCTGCATGCTCAAATTTCAAACCCTTTTTATTTTTCCCAATTTTTTAATTAACCCTTTAGCTCCCATGAGTGACCAAGACAGAATTTTTCCTTACAATATCAAAACAATATCCAGCAGACATGTGATGAGATCTGGGAATGAAATGGAGAATAATTGTAGATAATGACCTCCTTATTTCTGTCATGCATAGAAATGGAGTGCGAGTGAATAATCTAATTGTTTTGGCACTGAACTACTGACAGTTCAAAACTTAACAAATTGCTGTAATTATAGAATAGTGTTTTACTGTAACAGAGTTCTCAATATTACATATTTTACTTGAGGTTGAGTCTACAAACATGTAATTATGGAAATTCACAAAATGTGAAAAATTTTGATTTCTTAATATTCTTCTTCAGCAAGCCACTCAGCAGCAGCAGCCTAGTGTTGTAGGACCTTGGGGTGCACCAGCCCAGAACTTTGGCATTTTGCCACCACCATCCACTACAGTAGGCGTGGTTAGACCAATGGGTCAGCCCCAGGTGGCTGGAATGATGCCCCCTACCTATATGGTTGCAGGACAGATGAATAGAATGCCGTTCCAAGCCATGTCTCCTGGTGCAATGACCATGGCACCAAGGCAGGGACCACTGACTATGGGTGTCAATAGCTTTACCATGCCAGCTGTTGGTTCATCTCCTCGTGGGAATCTACCAGCAGCTGGAGGTAGGAAGGCGGAAGAACAGGCAAGGCCGCCAAGTGCATTGGACTTACTTGGTCAAGAATTACTACAGACCCAGAAGCAGCAACAGAAGCAGAAACAAACTGTCGCTCCACTGCAAGAGAAACCTGCCCCTGAGCAGCAGCAGCAGGTGGTGGCAGCCTCTACAGCTGACAGTCTGTTGTCGTTAGGAGTGGAGCCAAGCCCTTCAACCCTTCCGGTCGGGTCTGTCAATGTTAGTTCACCTTCACCAGCCACTTTTCCTCCAGTACCTTCTCCACCAAAGCCAACACCTCCCTCTTTAGACAATGTCTTTGTTCCTTTAGATACCATAAAACCAGGTAAGCAACAGCAGCTAAGCAAAAGCTAAGGATGCGTGGCGCTCGTTTCTAATGCGAGAGCGCGTTAAGTATTTTACAGAATTCTATACCCTAATATCAGTACCCATAATCCCCATATCCTTCTCTAGACTTTTCCCTTGGTGCTGACAATGAGAATTCATTTAACAATCGAAGCTTCGCGCGTTGACGATCATTGTATGGGTGATCTTACAGTATTGTATAGGTGACCATACAGAATTAATGTCAGGAGAAATTACATGCTGGTGGCTCTCAGGGTTTAAAAGGTTAAGTTCAATGCAAGTTGCTTCTTTGCTTTTCTAATATGTTTGTCAGTTTTATTTTATTTTGTCTCATTTGAACTTAATAACTTTGCGTGGCGTATGGAATTGTAACTTTCATCGGTTCATTTTATTTGGCCACTAATAGTATAACTAATCTTTTCAAAGGTTGTTATCAATTCAGTAACTTCTGTTGATTGGGTTCTTCAATAGTTTTAGTTTTCGATCTGGTCTTGCGTTCACTTCTTTTTTTTTTTTTTTGTACTTCCTTAATTTAGGAAACCATCCACCACTAACAGTTCTCGATAAAAACAGCATCAAATTAATTTTTCACTTTGCTAAGGTATGTAGACAATATTCAGGCAATATTGATATTCTCAATTTCAAGACGAAGAAAGCTGCTGCATTAAGTTTTGTGTTTGAAGACAAAGACCTGCAACTGATTTACGCACAAGTTTGAGTTCATCTTATGACACTGATTACAATGGCAGCAGTACCTGGCGAAATCTCTCCAGCCATCATTTTCTGTCAGATTTGAGCATCAGAGGTTATTGGCCTAACTGTCTTTGACTATTAATTCACAGACGAGCGCAGAGCTAGACAGAAAAGACTTGCTGGTTGTTGTGATTTCCACCATGAGTTCGCTATCATATGAAGTTAAGAATTTCGTTTTTCAGGCTGCAGTACCAAAGGTAAATCCTCACCATGTTTCTTCCAAGTAAACCACTTGTCATTTTGAAATACAATGAGTTTTGGTTTCGAAACGCTTTTCTTACGGAACGCGAAAGTTCATTATTCAATACAAAGTGGTTTCCGAGGCTCAGGTTCGAGAGCTGGTGAGATTCGTCAAGTTATTTTGATGTGTCTCGCTCACGCGCGTTAGCGGAGCACCTTTTCAGTAAACACAGTGGTTAGAATTAAGACATGCGCGAGAGGATCAATTTTGGCCACCAGCGCGCCATTTTCCCGCGCAAAATTTCGAAGGAAAGCATGAAAAAACTGCTGTCACGCATGAAAAAGCGAAAGAAAATTGAAACTTTCGTGAAGGTTTGTAAATGGAAGCAAAGCTAGGTTATATGTTATTTAAACCGTGACTTACTGGTTTGTGTGTTTGTTTGTAACTCGCATGAGACAACTTTGTTCAGACTGCCTGAAGCACGCCACGTAGGCATTACAACGTTCGCATATGCGCAGACGTATTTTTGTAATCCGCAAAGTATTCAAAATTTATATCCTTTCCGATTCTAAGCTTCGTCAGCTTGAGCTGTCGAAGCTTTCAGCGGTCTCAAAAAAATGTTGTATGTTTTTCAGACCATGAAAGTGAAGCTTCAACCTCCATCTGGTAGCGAGTTGCCGGCATATAATCCAATTCTTCCTCCCTCAGCCATCACACAGGTTATGTTGATCGCTAATCCAGCAAGGGTATGTCAACTTTAGACACTGTATGTATTCCAGCTTTCAGGTTGGGTTTATTTGCTCATGTTTTCACTATTTGTTTGGGCTGAGGGAATTTGTCAATTCTCTGTTACCGACGTGCGATGATTAACCCTGTTCGCCCTTACATCAGTATCCATATTCTCTATACTGGTCTCTATACGTTTCCTGAGATTCTGGCAAGGAGGATTTGTTTAACAATCAAGAGTTGCTTTAACTGGTGATCATTTCCTTTATTCTCGTGACCTTAATGTGTGATTCAGGGGTGATTTTGTAAGGAGAAATCAGATGCTGGTCACTGTAAGGAGTCAAAGGTTTAACGATGTGTCCGATGCGAAAAAAATAATAGGAGGACAATATTTTGAAAAGTTGATGACTTTATTTTCGGGGAAAGAAAATATTTTTGTTCATTTTGTTTTAATAAGTTCTTACTAACTGAGTGAGAGGGCCATACTGGGGAATATTGGCCCGAGGTCGTCCAAAAAACGACTGAGGGCCATTATTCCCCACTCAAATCGAGCAAGTGGGGTTAGTAAGTCGTTAAATATAAGGCACTCAGACCTAACTTGTTTATTGTAAATTTGTCGGCTTTAGCTAACAAAACAAAAAGGCCCACGACCGTTTCCGTGGAAACGGTCCGTAGGGCAAAAGAGGGACCAAGTAAGAACCAATCAGAACGCTCGTATTTTCCTCAGAACTACCTTGCCACATCATAAATAAATATATTTCTTCCTTGTTTACTTGTGTTTTGCTGACAGGAAAAGATCAGATTAAAGTTCAAAATAAGTTACCAAGTTGATGGCGCTTCCCTGACAGAAACTGGCGAGGTGGACAGCTTCCCTAGCGATGTTTAAGGATAAATCGAAGGATGATTTCAAGTCTCTGCTTGCGATGAGTAATTGTGGTTGGATTGAGTGGAGTCCGATTCGGTCTGTAACCTTACGAGTGATTCGCGGAGTCGGATTTGTTACTATCGCGTATGATTACAGACAGAATTAGACAACAAGAAGTCCTGTTACCAATGAATCAAAACTATAACAAAATTTTTAGGTACGTACTAGCCATCGTTTTATTGAGAAAAACAATAGTTAACTCTGCGAAGTGTGTGATAACAGCATGCGCACATGATACGTAGGATCAAATTACACAGGCAAGACGCTTGCACTGTCCAATTACGTCCAATTCAGTGCAAGCGTGACGCTTACGCTGTCCTGTAAATGCTCAAATCGGGCGGGAAATAACCAATCGTGTTCGAGAATTTTGGGATAGTTTCGATTTAGACACTAGTTTAATTGAATAGGGAAGAGTTGTTCGTGATAGTTTAAAATTTACACCTTAGCGCCTAAAGTAAAAATAAGAAAAACGTTAAGGAAGAATAATCTGATGTAACTCTTAGAGGTTTTCCAGAATAGAAAGAACAAGTTCCGCCAGGCTTGAACGCGGGCGAGGGAGGGTCGTGGTCGACGATCTTGAAAAAAGAAAAAAAACCGAGGTTCGTCATTTTTAATCCAAGTCAATCTTTTAGTTCCTTCCTTTTAGTTTCTTCTGACTCTTTTGATAATTGTTTACATTTAAAAAAGATCACTTTAGGAATGCTTTATTTTAAAAAGGCAAGTGTTTGTGCCGGATGCTTTAAATGAAAAGCGAAGGTAGTTTTATGACTTCTTCTTGAGTATTCTCCCTCACCACAGATGAGGGAGAATACTCGAGTATTGACGGTCGGAGAGTATTTAATTCTATTAAAAAAGTCAATCAGTACATGCAAATGATTTTCATACCAAGTTGGCCTGAATTCTATTGATGGTATGCAACCGAATGTTTGTTTGTTAGTTCCAGAAAAGACTTTGGAAAAAAAAAATTTAATGGGAAGATAGAGAATTTACTTTCTAAAACTAATGAAATACCAAGTTGTTATTAGTGACTTCGCTAGGCTATCTTTAAGATACTGGAAACAGGTTTACATAATTGCTATATTAAGCCGTCTTAAAACTGAGCTTACAGTTACAAAAAATTGTTGTTATTCATATTAAAGTATTTAATTTAAGGAACATTTCTCTTGATACCTCTAACTTGGATGTTAAGTGGGAAAAGGTGAAAATATTCCAAAAATAACATGGCAAGGTTAAGTATCAGACGTTATGGTGAATTAGTCGTGACTCACGCGTTGGGGTATTGTTGTAAAACTGCGTGACGATTCCTCAATCTTGCGTGCTTTCCGGTGGAACCCACAGGAACCCGTAAAGAGTTTTTTAAGCTGACGTTTCGGGCGTTCGTCATTCGCTCTGATAAAGGGTTGGCGCTCTAAACGCCAGCTTACAAACTCTTTACGGTGGCCAATTTACATTATCAACTCAGTTGATAAAACCAAATGACCTGGTTATACTCCGCCACCGACGCAGCACCACAGTTTCTTGAGAAACTTCAAGTGCCCCCATTATCATAGATAATGATACGACTGACTCGTTCGTCCTTATACGCGTATGAAGGAAGCTGATTTCCGGGCTCGCTCGATCGATAGAGGAGAATTGTAATTCAAAACTCTTTCTCTTGCTATGACAAATTTTCGATTTTTTCAAGTGCCTAGGTAAGCATAATCTTGGTGATTCAGACATGGGTCAATTTCTGTACTGACAAAGTAAGACTCTGGCACAGTGGCATCGTGAGGCGGTCAGTCAGGAGGTGACGAAAAGATAAGTGCAGATACAACATCTTGTACACTTCATCCTCGACAGGCAAATAATCCCTTTAAGGTGGCAAAATAGAAAAAAAAAAAAAAAACTTCCCTTACGATCGAGCGCTCACCTCTGCGACAGTTTTTAACCAAACATGGTCTTGAACTGAATAGTACGTCTTTGTCAAGTTTAAGTAGGGTACAAAAGGCCTTAGACGAAAGGGGGAAAAGCCCTTACGCTTCGTCAACATTTTCATCCAAAAATATCTTTTGCTTAACTTGAAGTATCGCTGCAAATAATTTTAAGGGAAAACCCCTTGCATAACACGGTTTACCTTTTTAAGTTGTCCTTTCTCAACTCTCACGACATTCGAGCCGTAGGATTAATGTTTACTTAGAAGAAAAATCAGCACTGCACTCTTGGCTCTGTGGCTTTAAGTCTCGAATTTTTTTACATGTACTTTGAGAAAAATAAATTTCTAAGTCTGACAACCTCAACTATCTTGCTCAGGAAGTCGGAAATATATGTGACGTCATACTCAATGTTATTCCTTTAGCTGTCTTGTGATTTTTGATTTTTAGTTCCTGCAAATCAATATAAATGCGTATATGCTTGTGTAAAATGTTGTGTACGGTTCTAGTGTATTCTCTGAACATTTTGAGTAGCATGGTTCTCGCTAGTGATGTGGACCACGTAATGGATGATTGTCAATACGGACTGAACTGATTGCTCGACAGTGGCTATGCTTCAAATTGAACCAGGCAGATTTGGATAAAACTAAAAAAAAAACATTACAAAAAGTAGTAACGTTTCAGCTCGTCGAGGAAAACTCTTAAGCCGTCTAAGATTTGCGTCAGACTCATCCGTCCGTGAAGTATTGGATTCCCCGTGCACACGTTCACACCTGAGAGTAAATATATTCATTTAGTGAAGCGTTGAGGTTCAGAAAGAGCGTTGAAAGGTGAGCACTGAGCGCTGTTTTTGGAGAAACGAAATCGGCAATGTTGTGTACATCTGAGGCTCAGAAAGATTGGCAAACTCCCAGATCAACTATCAGGGAGAGATGTGCGTTAGTCTTCAACAACGACTTCTTGAGCGATGTGAATTTCAAAGCAAGATCGTCGATTTGTGGCGAGGGTAAGGTGATACCGGCTCACAAGTTCGTTCTTTCCATCAGCAGCCCTGTATTTCTTGCCATGTTTCACGGGAACATGGCTGAGTCTGTTTCAAACCTGATAGAACTACCGGACTGTGATTACGAGAGTTTATTGGAGTTCCTTCGTTATCTTTATAGCGATGAGGCGCATCTAACTGGAACTAACGTTCTTCAAGTATTGTATCTAGCAAACAAGTACATAGTGCCCTCTCTCGTTGAAAAATGCACCGAATATTTGCAGAACAACTTGGACGCAAACAACGTGTTCTGTATTCTTCCACACGCTCAAACGTTCGACGAAAATGGACTACTAGAACATTGCTGGGAAGTGATTGATAAGAACGCGGACATTGTCGTGAAGTCAGAGGAATTCGTTAATCTTGACAAGTGTCTAATGGAGACCATTGTCAACAGAGAATCATTAAACATTACAGAATTCGAATTATTCAAAGCCGTTGACCGCTGGGCGTCTAAAGAAAGCGAAAGGCAAGGTCTTCGTGCAAGTCTTTGTGATGTTGAATCAAAGAGACGGATACTCGGAGATGGAATAGTGCAGGCGATACGGTTTCCACTGATGTCACAAAAAGAGTTCATGTCAGTCGTACCCGATAGTAACATTCTTACAACGAGTGAAGTCATAAACCTGATGAAATACTTCAGTGGGTTACCAACTCCTCCCATGTCGTTTCTACAAACCCCAAGGAAAGGGACCATCAAGAACCTGCCACAAATGCGACGGCGATTGGGGACTTACATCCCTCCGGCAGCTTGGTGGGGTCATACAGTTCGTAATTGTCAATCAATATGCAGTTCACCTCTTAATTAATGGCAATATGTAGCAAAACTTTAAGTCACTTTTAATGTCGTTAAGAATCGACTCCAATTATAGGCTCTGCTAAGCTTCCGAGCAAATAGCCAGGGGCGCGTGCAAAATGGCTAACAAGCGAGCACAGCGGTAGCGGTTGTCACGGAAACAGCTGCCATTTTTCGCACACTCGTTTTAGAGCCAGAACAGGTTATAAGATTTTATTGCAATAATCACTGGATGAAGACGAAATAAAACGGAGGAAAAAGGGGAAGTGGCTCAAAACGAACAATGCTCTTAATGATGGCCGGCGAAGATGAAGATCATAGTATGCGTTATTGACCAAGCGTGAGGTCAAGATCATCGGCTGAATATTGGCCGAGTTCTTTCTTTTCCGTTTTTATGGACCTCGACATCGTCTCGGTCCATGAAAACGCAAAAAAAAAAAGAACGAAGCTAATATCCAGCCATCCTGACCGAACAAGATGGGCCCATCTTACCTGCTCGGTTAGCCAATCAAAAGAAGGATTCGCTTCATCTTGCCCGCGGGCCCTGCCAGCCATATGATAAACATTTATTACTTTATTTTACAAATTATGCATAGTGAGAAAAATGTACGAACGCTGAACTGAAAATTGTACTTCATCTGTCATTGTTTCTTAGTCAGTACTATATCTAACAAGCGACGAGGATGATCTTATTAAGGACTGAGAAAGTCAACACCCTGACATCTTTGATACCTGAATGTAGCTGCGAGATTTTGGACTGATTTAGCCCGAGTCAGGAGATAATAGGTGTTTATTGACTTTAGCGACATTTTAGTACTCGTGTGACTTACAGGATACCGAGTCCTTGGGATATGTATAAAATATCGTAGCGCCTTCATAACCTCAGGCAAATATTAGTAATAAGTCTACCGTTAAGTAGTTAAGTCTAGTTTTAGTGTATGAATTCAACAAATTTCAGTTTTATATATATAGACAACTAAAAGTACAAAATTCGCGCGCTGTACACCAAACTCACTGGGGTTCGTACATTGCAAAGTTTAACCACTGCGTCCCTCAATCGATTTCTCTCCATCCTGAGCTCTCTGAATGTAACTCAAACTCACGGAACATAATATCGTAGTGTTGACAGTCATACCCTGTTCGAGAAATCCTACCTAGAATGAGACCACGTATTGATTGGCATAATGAGTTTTGACTATTAATAAAATTAGAACCGAGAGCGACATAAAACAACAGTTTTCGACCCGAGAAATCGACTGACTAAAGGTCTTTGGTGAGTATTTATTGTATACAGTGTCTACCTATACTAATTGCTCAACTGAGGACGTCGGAAGTGGATAACTGATTAGTGATTTAAACCAATTACCCCGGGCCTGCACAAATATTAATCGAAAGGCTATTTGAGATATGCGAGATAAGCTCGCTTTTTTATTTCTGCTCGTTTGTTTGTTTGTTTCAGTTTCTCCTTTTTTGCTGCTTATTTGTTTTTGTTCCTGTTGTTCCTATTGTTGTTGTTTATTGTTGTTGTTTTTTGTTGTTATTTTTTTTTAGTCCTTGGCGAAAAAAGAACGGCGTTTTAATTAAGCAAATGTGATGGTATTTTAGAACACAGCTGTGTATAGTTCCCTTTTACCCGGTGGCGCAGTACTGCAGCGGCAATTCCGAAGGATTAGGATTCCATTCTTCGTAGAGGATTACTCCCATGCACGTTCGTGACAAAACCGTCGCGAATGACATCACGAATTAAATTACCCTTGTTTTCGACGAATCTCCAAGAAAGCAAACTGACAAATTTATCAAAATGGTTATGCTCGTTAGAGAACTAATCATGGAGAATAATTTGGGATCATGATGAACCTTGCTGTTTCAAACGGAGAGTGCTCTCGGTTATTTAGCAAGTATTTAGCACGTGACCTTCAAATTTAGCTCCAGGCGTATTTTGGTCAAGTAGTATCCAGACCTTGTTTGTTTGAATATTTGATCAATCGAGAATCTTTGCCCTGCGCGACAGCAGACCACCGAGGTACTAAGAAAAACGTTAGGAAAGATTGCAAGTATGCCTCTGGAGGACCTTTGGAAGACACACGGGCAAAAAATGGGGAATAAAATTGCTTTCCTCTTCAACAATGAGATATTGAGCGATGTGAGTTTTGTTGTTCCATCCTCCAACGAGGAAAATGAAACTACAAAGGTCGTCCCAGCTCACAAGTTTGTGCTTGCAATCAGTAGTCCTGTGTTCTTTACCATGTTCTATGGTCAAATGGCGGAGAATAAAGACTCTATTGAACTGAGTGACTGTGATTACGAGAGTCTGTTGGAGTTTTTTCGCTACATATATTGCGACCGAGCGAACTTAAGCGGAAGTAACGTACTCAAAGTGTGGTATTTGGCGAAGAAATACATGGCGCCCGAACTCGCCTTGAGCTGCAAACAATTCGTGCGACATGAATTTCAAGTAAAGGTATCAAACGTTTTTTGCAGTTTGTCGTGTGCTCGTATGTTTGAAGACGAAGATTTGGAAGATCGATGCTGGGGAGTGATTGAGAGACAGACAGAAGAAGCTTTGACATCAAACGAATTTGTTAGAATTGAGCGATCTTTTGTTGAATCTATTGTGAAGAAGGAAGTGTTGAATGTTAAAGAAATAGAACTGTTTAAAGCCGTTGATCGCTGGGCCGCAAAAGAATGTGAGAGGCAAGGAATGACTCCTGATGGACTGGGAAAGAGAAGTATTCTGGGAGACGAAATCGTGAAAGCGATTCGATTTCCGCTGATGTCGTACGAAGAGTTTAGATCCGTGACGATATCTAGGGAAACTAATAACATTCTGAAAGACGAGGAAGTCTCTCACATGTTGAGTTATTACCTGGATGATTTGAAGACTGTGTTGCAGTTTTCACCCGCCCGAAGAATCGATTTTCATCAATGTACTACATTTGACAATTTCCTTCCTCCGCTGGGAGTTGACAAGTGGAAGTATGTAGAGAAGACGGGGGAGATAGCTTTCTCTGTCGATAAGGCCATCTACCTACTGGGGATTCAACTCTTCGGCAGCTTCGAACGATATGAAGTCATGGTTCAAGTTAGAAGTCATGGCTATTGCATAACAGATCATTCAGGTACGCACTCCTCGAGAAAGGTTGCCATGACAAACAATTATTATTACGGATTTGATGTGTTTTTCGATGATCCAATTTTATTGGCGACTAATAGAGCATATGAAATTGTGTGGCGTATTCGTGGTCCATCCTCATGGTACGGCGAAGGACACAAACAGTCCATTTAATGTCACGGAGTGGTTTTTAACTTCATTAGGCATGTGCCATTTTTGAGAGAAGCCATGCATCATTTTAACGACTCTACGTGCCCTGCTCTGCTGTTCCGGGAAGGCATGACCACTTGATCAGGGCTAGCACCTCATGCGCCTGCGTGACGAGCCAATTTTTAAAGCGGTTCATAAAACACAGGGGCACGCTTTAAAGCGTATACCATGCATTAAACATTTTGCGTTTGTTATTCTATCATACATTCAGTCGTGTGCAATTTTTGTATTAATTTCGGACGGGTAACCGAAGATATGATCCTTTTTGAAAGATCGCAAACTCTGTGCCGGTGTGATGTAGTTTTTGTAAGAAAAGAAAAACAGAAATCTTAAGAACCAAGGACAGTTTGGCTCTCGCTCTCATCACTATCACCTCTTACTTGAAACTGTATTTGAATCATCGTCAGTCATGAACGCGTAAACTTTGGAAAAAGAAGTTGACATCTTGTTCGTTCTTTTTTCATTTAAATCTAATATGGGACAATAATGGTGATTACTTAGAACCCGCTAGAATATCTGGTATGCATATCAACAAACTTTAAACTTGAGAATTCTTACTGATTATTGGGTAAATGCTGATCTCAACAACCGTGACCCCCTCTCTACATGGGCAGGGATATTGATGATTATACATGTATTGATGTTTACACATGAAATGTCAGTTGAGTAGAAGCGATTCGGCGGTTGAATTGTTGGACAAATCTCTTCAACCTCGATCACAGGGTCTCTCTTCTTTCTGGGATCGATTTTAAAATCGCGTTTAGACGCTTTGTCATTGAGCAGTGTTGAGGTTTTGATCTAGCGAAATATTGTCATCGATCGCGACCGGGAGTAAAAGAATGTGACAGAGCTTTTTTGTCTATTCAGCAGATGTTTTGCGGTTGATATAGCAACGATTTTTTTTGTCGCTCAACGTGAATTAAGTAGAAAACAAACCAGTTAAAAACGTCCATTTCTTGGAGACTGCAAAATTCGATTCAATGGGGTGGAAAAGAGCGAAATCGATCAAGACAAAGAAATCACCAATTTTTAGAAAGAACGACACCTCGGTACCTAAGAGCTCATATACTCGCTTTAGTTTACACTAAAAAAAATTAATTTGCACTAAAAAAAAGTAAAGCAATATGATAAACAGACACAGATGGTTCACATTTTAGTCATAGACCTTTGTCACGCGTACGTCAGGTTGGATTCAAAACCGGCGAGCTGGGCCAGCCAAGCATTATTTTTAAGATGACCGTACCACCATTTCCGTATGCTATAGTCAGTAACATATACTGCCAGTAGGCCAATTTAAAGTTGTGTACTTAGTTGCCAAGCCTTTGATTTGGAGTGAGGCTGAAGGTGACCTTGCTCTGACAGAGACCAGTATCTATTAGTTAGCATATAACAAAGTAATTTACATTTGAAAAACAGCAATGCCAGTGTGTATCATAACAGGGTCACCCTCAGTCTCACTCCCCCAAAGGTTTGGCAACCAAGCACGTAATTGTAAAATAGATTATTAGCAGATGGAGATAATGTGACTTTAGACAATTTAAAATCTGAGCGTTTTCACAGCAGGCATGAATTAACAACCGTGCATAAAGAGTACTATTGCTTGGCTGCGTTACTCAAACAAAAAGTGATTCCCGACTAGGCAAATAAAAACAAACTGTTGGGCAAAGGTAGTACTACGCAGTTTGGTGTTAATTTCGCGAGCCAGACAGAGTGATAAACTTTGAAAACATGCGTACACAGCTCAGAGACACTTAAACTTCTTGTTATTGATGGTGGATGATTCTTTTGATCTTTGCATAGAGACGAATCTTGACTTTTAATTGCAAGCCGATGATATCCGGCTGCCTGACACTAGATATTTTTGTAAGTTGCTATGCAGTCTTACGAGATGGGTTTTGGACACGTACGGAACTTATTTAGTTACCCAGTAAAATATTTTAGTGACTACTTAGGCCTCGGGATAAAATTCTAATGCGCCGATTGACCTCAGGTAATTTTAATTTTCGTCGCTTTTCGTTTGACACTTTGTCGTCAAGTGTCCCCATTTGTGACATTTGCGACAAAAACCCATTTTATTAGAGTGCGCGTAGCGGCATTTAGACGGTCCATACTTGCAGTTGCTCTTATAGTAACATTCTTTGTCCCTATCAGGATTTCGAAAAAATTTCTTTTCATCTTCACTGTGATGGTACTTGCAATTGAGCCCTCTCTTGCAGTTTGAGCGGTCCTTGCATGGCGTAGAATACTGTTGGTTTCGTCGCTTTCGCGGCTTTCTTTGGACAAGTTGGAAGTCGTCGTCTTCTTCTCCACTTTCACTCATTTCATCTACGTCGTTGTGGGACAGATCCTCACTTTTCACACTCAACTGGTCGTCGACATTCACAAGTGCTTCATATTTGTTTGCGATGCAAATTTCAGCACTCTGATCGTACTCATTACGGTACGCAGGATAATTAACAATTTTCCAAGGATATTCTTGATGAAGTTTCTCGAAGATCTTGTCGAAATGTCGTTCAATGCCCCAGTTTCCATCGACAGATTTCGCTTTAGCAAAGATCAGAATTATATCCTTGTAGTCTATCGGGTCTTGTCCTTCTGGTCCAATCATACAGAACTGAAATGGCCAACCTAGCTTTTCGCAAAGACCATTTTGCCATTTCTCATCGGGTGTGAAATTGATACCTTTAATGATTGCAGACCGCGACTTCGGAATGTCTTTTTCTCTAAATTTAAAATTAGTAAACGTTACTTCTTCAAGGTTCGAGTCCAGTGTATTTATGTGGACAAACCCAGGCTTCTCTTCCGCCAGTTTTTTTAGTGCATTTGAAATACAACCTTCCCACATCCAAATTTCAGTGGACCATTTCATTTTAATGCTCTCGTTAATGGCTGGTATCATGTCAGCATCTCCACTCACAATTACTATCTTACCCTTTGTGACACTTCTATCAGAGACCAGTGCTGTGATGTCCGCTACCATCTGATGATCCACTTGCTTTTCTCTATTTGTGATGGCGCTCCTCTCGGTGGTAAACACTTTCCACCCACAGTCCCTTATTTTCTGCCAGACAGAGTCTATTGGCGGAGGTTCTGATCCATACAAGGTTCCCCAGGCAACATTTCTCCCATTTGCAACGACATCTGTAACTTTTCCAATATCCAAACGGAGTCGAGGATCTTCCACGCATTTTAGATTCAACTTCAAGGCAGCACGCTTCTTTGCTTCGATCCACATGTTTGAATCATCAACATAAATGAAAACGTGTTCATCTCCATCATTTTGAGGCTTGACTGGCTGTAAACTCTCTGAGCAGCAACTGCATTCCCTACTATCGCAATCGTAAAATTGTTCGGCGAAACAATTAAAACAGGTCATGTGATTTGACTCACACTGCCAGAACATGTGATATCTTGTGAGATATCTGTCGCAATTCCAACAATTTCCCCTTCCAAGGAGATCTAGTTGATGGGGAAACACATCATGTTCATGAATACTACACTCAACATAAATATTAGGTTTACCCCTTCCATCATAATTTAATTCTGATGTTGAACACAAGTTCTTGTTTCCAGTATTACGTATGGAAAATCAGGTGAGAAAAGAAGTTTGGGTGGAATATGCTGTCTGGGCCAAAAATGATGACAACCGCGAGAATATCAAATGCATTAGCTGCGAAATTAGTCTGTTGTAGAATTATTGAAATAGTCCTTTACCCGTCCGCAGAAATGTCACTGGGAAACTTAGAAAGTCGAAAATACCAGAGATGTTTATGAAAAATTACTCGAGTTCCCAGTGAGGAAAAACCCGATCATTTTCGAAGAGACTTTAGAATGAGTACCTGACAATTCAGTGACTTAAGTTAGAACATTTGTTTTTCGTTTAGTCGTTCGGTCATTTTCCTCAAAATTGTAATATGGTTCTGAGGCTTGAGGGTATAAAACAAAAGAAACTAATTATTCATTCCTCCGACCTCGATGTGATTTCTTTTGTTTTAGTCCCCCAAGCATTGGGGCCAGGTTTCCATTATGATACATCGAAAATGGCCTATGTTATCGATGTGGTGAGGACTTTCTGTTAAATCTTTTATGCTCACGTGTCCCGCACGTGGAGCGCATGGCACTTCTAGACGTTTTTCGTAGCCGCTATTATAATTGTTGTAAGACGCTTTTTCTCTTAC